GGTAGGGACGAGACATAGAATAGGGGCTCCATCAGTCCAAGGTCACACAGAGTTGGGACTGGAACCACCACAGCAGGAAACCCTTGCCAGCTCATAGTGGGGGCACCATACACGAACGAGACCATTAATACCTCATGTGAGATGAGGAAACTGAAAACTGGAACTGTATGATCTCATGACCTTTATCAAGGGGCAGAAAAGAGCTGGCATTCAGGTACTGTCTGTCACCAACTAGCTTGGTGACCTTGGGCAAAGCTCCTCACCCCTGGGCACCTCAATTTCCTCATCTGAAAAAGGGGATAATAAAATCATCTATCCCAGAGTGTGGAATTAAGATAATGGGAAGGGTTGAGGCAGGAAAATGGCTAACGTTTATTGATCGTTTAACATGTACCAGGCACTCTGCCAAGCACTTTACATATGTAAGCTCATTTGGTTAAATGAGGTAATGCATACAAAGTGCTTAGCACAGGCCCCCAGAAACGGGAATGATAATGATGATGATGAAGAAACCAATGACGAGTCCCTGGGGCAAACATCCCTGGTTCATCCCCTTACCGGAAGAACAGAGTGGCCATGCGAGCTTGGGAAGGAGGTGAGAAGGGAGAGGAAATATGCAAATGAGTAAAAATCAGGGAGTGAACTGAATTAATAACGTCAACATGTTTCAGTAATTAGAACCCAGGAAACCAAAGGGCCAGAGAGTTCTGAGAACAGAGGGAAATACAGAACCCCCACACCCACCCAAATGTCCTCTCAGATCCCAGTCAAGCAGAGCCGGGACCCCAAGAACCAGACTTGAAGTTCTCCATACTTCATGGGTGGGGAAAAGAACAAAACAGGTGAAACAGATGCCCAAACATGCAGGATGTCGAGGGCAGAGCAGGGCTAGAACCCAGTCCTGTCCCTCAGCTCAGGGTCCCAGTATCTGCCACTTCCTGCAAAAGAAGGGCACAAGGCCCCCAAAATGCTTTCACTACAACTCCGGGGAGGCAGCCCCTATAATAACCCTAAGAATCAGGAACTTGGGGACCGGGAGACAGCTCAGTCAATACAGTGCTTGACACACAAGCAAGCGTAAGGGCCTGTTTAACCCCCAGCACCCACATAAAAAAGCCAGGTGCAGCTTGTGTGTGAGGCAAAGACCAGAGGATCTCTGGTGTTTTTAGCCTGCCAGGTTAGCAAATCAGCGAAATCAGAGTGAATGGGAGGCCCTGCAAGGTACAAAAGGCGGAAGGGGCTGAGGGAAACACTGATCCCAATAACTGGCCTTCATATTTCATGTGCATGGGCACTCCTGTGAACACACACCCTCAGGAACTGTTTATGCAAGGCAGACAGCAAAGCTGAGTTTGGAGAAGGGGAAGTAGTGCTTGGTGGCCCAGGCCTGTAATCCCAGCACTCTGGAGGCTAGGGCAGGTGGATGACCACAAGTTCTAGGCCAGCCAGGGTTACATATTTCGTTCCATGACAGCCTGGCCACAGTATGAACTCTGTCTTAAAAACAACAAGCCATGGCAGGCGGTGTCAGTGCTCACCTTTAATTCTAGCACTTGGGAGGCAGAGGCAGGCGAATATGAGGCGAGCCTGTCCAGGAGGGTCAGGGCTACACAGAAAAATCCTGTCTCAAAATTAAAAACAAAACAAAAGAAAAAACCCACCAAAACCAAAACAACAACAGCCAAGCAAGATGGCTGAGAGGGTAAAGGCACTTGCTGCTAAGCCTGATAAACTGAGTTTGATCACTGGGACCCCACACAGTAGAAGGAGAGAACCAATTCCTGCAAGTTGTCCTCTGACCTCCACGTACATGCTGTGGCATCTGCACACACATACATTACATAAATCAATCAAACAAACAAAAAAAAAAAAAAAACAAAAAACAAAAACAAAAAAAAAAAAAAACAAGAAAGAGAGAGACGGAGATACTCATCTAAGATCACATAGCCATAAAGTGACAGAGAGATCCTAGAACCCAGATGACTTTGTTCAAAGTCCCAAGCCTCAATTACTACCCTGCACCTGTCCACCTCAAAGGCATAGTCCCAATCTGCTTCCTCTAATGCTCTGTCCCCTTGTGACCTGCCCCTTTACCCAAAACAGCTCCACCCAGAGAAGGGTCTGCAACCACCAGCTTGCTTCCTTACAATGCCTCAGCCCCAGTGGAAAAAGAGAAGGATCTTTCTTTTCTTATGTTTTCAGCTGAAAACTAGCTAACTGCCTCTTTAATCTCTCAGTCCTTTGGATGAGAAAGCTGAGCCTCCTTCTCCCCTCAGGCTGGCACATTCACCATCCTGAGAGCATATTCTGGAAGCTGCCAGGCTGCAGGGGCTCTAGGGGGTTAGTGAGTGACAGCTGGAGGGGTCCTCTCTGTAATGAGCTCAGATAGAGCAACAGAGCCAAGAGACCAATTTTCAAGCCCCCCCCCCAACACCCAGCACTTCCAAAATTGTCTCATGTAGCCTGCACAAGCTGCCCGAGCCACCCAGGCAGGGCGTAGGAGAAGTGGAATCCCACCCAGGTCCTGCTGAAGCCATCTCTGTTTTGGTGAAAGAATGGGCATTCCCTTGGCTGGGAAAGCTTGGAGGCTGGGAGACCCCCTGTACCACTTCTGCTTCCCAAGATGGGTGAACACCTCTCTAGGAACCCCAGTATACCAAGGCCAGAGCTACTTATTATGCTGTAGCTAAGGCAACAGAGGAGGCTGGTCCCAGGCCTGGATCCCAGTTCCTGGATCCCTTTGAGCAAGTTTCGTCACTGCGTGACAATGAAGGTTAAATGAGTTAACTCAGGGAAAATCACTCATAAGAGCAGCTGCCACCAGTGAGTTAGCAACAGTACTCTAGAATGAGCATGGGACAAACTGCTTACAGGTCCACCTATGGGAGGACATCAGGCACAGAGGGAGAAAACTTGCTCTGCTTCCCACTCTCTGAGCACTTACTTATTCACTTCATAATTTATTATGCACATCATTTCTTAAATTAAAAAAAAAATGTAGCTGGACAGTGGTGGTGATCACTTTTAATCCCAGCACTTGGGAGGCAGAGGCAGGTGGATCCCTGAGTTCAAGGCCAGCTTGGTCTACATAATGAGTTCCAGGATAGTCAGAACTATATAGTGAGACCCTGTCTTGAAAAGAACAAAACAAACAAACAAAAATACAGTTTAAAATTTAAGGTAGCCATCCTGCAATCCCATCACTCCGGAGGGCTGAGCTGGAAGATTACTGAGAGTTCAAGTCCAGCCTAGACTGCTGAGTTAGAACATGTCTCAAACAAACAAGCAAACAAAAACAGAATGGGATCCTTAGGGCTAGACATGGCACAACAGTTAAGCACATTGCTCTAGCAGAGGACCTGAGCTTGGTTCTCAACATTCACCACCAGTAACCCCAGCTCCAGGGGCCCCGATATGGCCTCTTCATGACACCTCAAGCACCTGCACACACAGGCAGACACAGACACACACAATTTAAAAATTAATAAATCTTTTTTAAAAATTTTAAAGGAATCCTCTGAAAAGTTTGAAGATTTCTTTGCATTTTATGTTCTTCAAAATAGATACAGGAGAATATTTCTGCTGTGAGCCCAGATTTGCCAAATAACCGATTCTTGATTTAATTTACAAATATTAATGACGTGTCAAGCACCGTCCAGCTGCTGTGGTCTTAACAAGAACAAAAATGGGCTCTTTCTGCCCTTTTGGAGTTTTCATCCTACCTGGTGGTGATTAACCCCCTCTACTATCTTTGAGAATGAACACTTGACAGACCTGGTGGCCTTGTGAGGGGAAGTCACTAGGACACTAATCTTAGGGGAGAAGAGGATAATGCTGTGGATGGCAGGCTTGTGGCTGGTTGCTCAAAAGGAAATCGAGATAACAGGGGCCACCTACACACCCCACTCAGATGCTCTCCATCATCTTCTGTACCTGTGGGGGGGCACAGCAGGTGGCACATGCAGGCCAGAAAGCAGACCCAAATGCTGGGACCCACAGGAGTGAGGCTGAGGCACTCCCCCAACCCCGACCCGAGTGCTGTCTGCAGTTCCTATCCAACACTGCCTAGAGGAGAAGTACAGCCCATAGGTGTTGGACCCCAGCTCCAAGGGAAGCAGCAGATTCTGTGTCTCCTCCATCACTTTCCTGTGACAGGCCAGGACTTCAGCTACTCTTAACCTCCAGATTCACTCTGCTGCACCCCCCACCCCACCCCGCCCCAGTCAAAGACCTCATTTCCTCAAACTGGGGCCAACACAGAGCCCCCAGATGATCTGATTCCTCCCAGGACACCTAAGTGTCCCCATCCAATGGGATCAGGGAACTGACCCCACCCCGCTGCTGATGGAACAGATGGCTCCGGGGATGCTGGGGGACCCAGTGGCCAGATCAAAGCCACAGAGTGGGTCCCGTGCATGCCGGGTCAGGTTGGCTCAAGATACATCAATTCCTGGTGACCCTCCTCAAGGAGGTAGCTCTCCATCTCAGGCCACCCAGTTAGGAGGGTTCTGAGAGGCAGAAAAGAAGCACAAAGGACTGCTGAGGGTTCTTAAGAATCTCAGGTCCCACCATACAATCAGGAAGCAGAAATGGCCAGAAATCTGAAAACATTCCAGAGACACACAGGGACAGAAAGAGACTTTGTGAGAGACACTCATAGGGGCGGAGCCCAGAGGACTGAGGTACCCACGGAGCCAGCGCTTTGGGAGGGAACATGTGGTCAAGGACCTCGTTGAGTGCACAGACCAGCCTCGGACACACCCCCAGACCCAAGGGAGTCACAGTTCCGGGGCGCAGCCCCAGCGGGAGCCCACGCGCACAGTGAGAGCGGACGCGTGCAGCCCGGGCGCGCCGGACCGTGCGCGCGAGCGCGGGGCTCAGGCGAGGAGCGCACACAAAGGGACAAGCCGGCCCGCGCGGGGCAGGCTCCGCCCGGCCACCCCGCACCCCGGGTGGCGCCCACGCGCGGCCGCGACCCCACCCCGCCCGGCGTGGCTCACCAGCTGCAGGCAGCAGAAGGCGACCAGCGTGCAGCGCCCGCTGCACTTGCCCATGGCTCCTCCTCGCGCCGCGCGGGGCCGCGTCGTTCCGATGGCGCCCCGGGGCGGCGGGGCCGGCGACTAGGGCCGGATCCCCAGAGCCGCAGCCGGCCGCCCGCGCCCCGAGTGCATGGTGCGCCCGGTCCGCGCGGGCTCCGCCGCGCCTCCTTTGTCTGCGGCCGGCCGTCGGCACACCTCCCGCCCGCGGCGCCGGCCAGCGCGTATAGCGGCCCCCGCAGGCACCGAGCGCGGCGCGGTGCAGTACTGCCCAGCTGGGGCAGCCGCCCGGGCGATCGGCGGCTGCCGCTTCCCGGCCCACCACGTGGCTCGGCCGCCTCCCGGGAGAGAGGCGAGGGAGGGGCGGAAGAACGAGGGGGGCGGGGAGGGGAGGGGCGTGGAGCGAAGTGGAAGAGTGCGGGTCCTGCGGGCTCTGGGTCGCAACAGACTGCTGTTCTCTGGCTGTGTCACCTTGGGCAGATCACATTACTTCTCTGGATTACATCCCCCGCCCCAGGAGGGGCCTCACGAGCAAAGTAGGAAAAAGTCCCTTGCAGGCAGTGAACTAAGCGATAGCCATTAGCCTGGCCTGCTGAGGGAGCTGGAGCCACCCTGCCAGAGAGCCCTGGGGTTCCAACTTTGTCCTCTGTTTCCATTTGTGTTCATAGCACAGCTTGCCAGCCCTTCTGGGTTCCCAGCCACATTTTCTTGTTTCCTTCTCCGTCTGCTGTATGCCGGGTTTCTGGAAAGCAGAGGTAAACTTTAGTTCCTGAGTCTTCATAGCTCAGGGACTGGATGGGTCCCCAGACTGGCTTTTAGGAGATCCTTCTGCCTCAGCCTCCCAGATCCTGGGATTACATGTGTGAGCCACTATGCCCAGCTAATTGGTATGTTTTAAAACACGCAAGACAAGCATCCATAAAGTCCTAGAGTTGATCCTAGCACAGTCCACAATGACAGAACAAAAGGTAGGTCTTGCAGGTTGTTTCCAGAGGCAACATCATCGCACATGCTCAGAGCACCCACACTCACACACCCACCCACACACCCACACACCCACACTTACAAGAAGCAACTGGGATAATAGTGGGGCCTTTTCTCAGCCATTGTTAGGGAATGACAGCTGTGCCCAGCCTGTCTCCCTGACTAGACAGGCTTCCTGGAGTCTGTGAAGTCCCCCAAATGATACACTTTGTGTGGGCACTAGCTCCCAGCTTTTATCAAAGTCCCCAGAGATCCCCGATTCCCACAAAAGAAGAGTCAATCCCCAGGTGTACTGGCCCCCATGGGATCCCCTGCAGCCTTCCCAGTGAGCCCCGTGCCAGTTCCCACCCCCATGCCGACAGTGTGCTCAGATAGTCCTATGGATGGCTAGTCAACTCTCACCGATCCAAGCAGTGTCTCCTCAAGGCAACAGGGTTCTGCTCGGCCCTGACGAGCACTGCCAGGCTCTTGAATGTCTGTATGCCACAGGCCCAAGGCCTGACCAACTCACTCTATGTCTGCACTAAACCCTGTCCCTGGTCACTTATTTCCCACCCTGCCCCCACTGACTCTCTGGCCCCTCCCTGCTTTTAGGGTCACTCTTTTTTACTTATTTATGTTGTGCATCTGCGTTTGGATACATGCGTGTTGGAGCTCCCTCATGGCTCTCAAATGTCAGCTTATGGGAGTTAGGTTCCCTCGCGTGGGTCCCAGAGATTAAACTCAGATCTTTGTACTCAGTGACAAGTGTCCTTTACCCACAGCCATCTCTCAGGCCCAAGACTGTTGCACTTGTAGTGCAGTGAGCTCCATTCATCTTCAGCATCTCAGCCAGGACCTCACTCCTTGACCCTCAGTCACCCAGGGTAGTCCCCTGTCCGGCTCATCTCAGCCTTCTATGCTTCCACGATAGCTCGTTCTAGAACTCTTTTTGCTTTTGTTTGTTTCTTTTTTTTTTCCAGTTCTTTCTTTTTTTGACTCATTTAGTTTTATTTTATATGCATTGGTGTTCTACCTGCAGGTACATCTGCATGAGAGTGTATCTTGGAGTTACAGTGTTGAGCTGCATGTGGGTGCCCTTAACCCCTGAGCCATCTCTCCAGCCCCAGCTTTTGTTTCTTGAAGCAGACTGTGAGTCTTGCAAGGACACTGTGTTGGTGATTTACCTTGATCTCCCCAGGCCTTGGATTGGGGCAGGACTCTTTAGATGTGAGGGGACTGAGGTAAGCATACCTGTTGTACCTGGTGTCTTAGTTTGGGTTACTATTTTTAAAATGAAACATGATGACCAAAAGCAAGTTGGTGAGGAAAAGGTTCATTTAGTTTATGCTTCTGCATCTGTAGTCCTGAAGGAAGTCAGGACAGGAACTCAAACAGGACAGGAACCTGGATGCAGGAGCTGATGCAGAGGCCATGGAAAGGAGCTGCTTTCTGGCTTGCTCTCCATGGCTTGCTCAGCCTACTTTCTTATAGAACCCAGGACCACCAATCCAGGGATGGAACCACCCACCATGGCTGGGCCCTCCCCCTCAATCACCAATTAAGAAAATACTCTATAGGCCTACAGCCTGATAGCCTGATTTTTTTTTTATTTTTTTTTATTTATTTATTTTTTGAGACAGGGTTTCTCTGTGTAGTTTTGGAGCCTGTCCTGGAACTAACTCCGTAGACCAGGCTGGCCTCAAACTCAGAGACCCGCCTGCCTCTGCCTCCTGAGTACTGAGATTAAATGCCCAGCCACCTACAGCCTGATCTTATGGCAGCATTTCCTCAATTGGGGTTCCTCTTTGTCAGATGACACTAGCCTGTGTCAAGTTAACATAAAATTAGCCAGCACCTGGGTCTCTGTCCAGTCCTGTGTCCCAGGGGTCCCTCTTCATTCTGGAGACTGAGGTTCTCAGAAAGAGGCAAAAAAACTGAACAAGCAGAGGCAGTTATTTCTGGCAAGAGTTTCAGAGCTAGGGATGACATGGGGTAGGAGTGGGGCTTTCGATCAGTACCATGAGGGATGACTAACAGAGGCCTAGGGAAAGCTGTGGGAAAGATGAAGTAGGATGCACAATGAAAAGGACAGCCATGACTCAGAGCCCAGCCATATTTCCTGAGTGTGAAGGCAGGATCGTGGTCAGGTCTGGAGGGAATTCTGGCAGATGTGATGGGAAAGGGGCATTGGGAAGTTTCCAGCTCTAAACCAAGGCTAGGCGGGGTCTATGGGTTTTGCCCTTTGAGGGCGAGAAACTGAAAGCCCTTGAAACACCCTTTCCTGACCCAGGTAAATGATAAGCCCGAACTCCCCTCCCCTCATGTTGGAGGGCTGAATATGCTCACTAATTATAGCTTCTGGGACATTTTCTTTCACTAACCAATTCTTCAAACCAGCTGGGTGTCTGATGATTCAACTCAGTTATGGCTTGAACTACCTGATATAACAGAGGCCCCACCAGTGAAGGCTCCCTCTCAAAGCCAGCACCCCTGCAAGAGATCAGTCCCAAACCTCTGTCTACCATTTGTCCTGCTGATGGACAAGCTATGTGGCTCCCATGTTCCCCTCCTCATGTCCCATAATTTGCTAGAGTGGCTTGCAGAACCCTGGCAGGTACTAGACTTACATTTACTGGTCTATTATAAAGGATACCAATGAATGGCTAGAGGAAAAGAGGTACCTAGGGTGGGATCCAGGGTGTCCTCAGTGTGAGCTGTTCTGTCTCCATGGGGTTCGTGTGCTCAGCATTAACTTGGAAGCTCCAAAAAGAGTTCTTTGCTCAAGGGTTTGTAGATAGCCCCATCTCCAGGACTCCTTTACTCCAGTCCTTAAGGAAGAAGAGTGGGTGGGGCTAAAGGTTCCAACCTGCTACTCATTTGACCTTGCTGATGACTGGTCCTCTTCTGAAACTACCTAGGGGATGCCCTAGCTGTAGGACAGTTCTGAGAGAAAAGAAAGGTGCTTAGTGACTATCAAAAGACACCCCTGGATACAGCCTCCTGGTACATCCCTTGTGGTGGTTTGGGTGTAATTGGCCTCCATTAGCTCATAGGGAGGGAGTGGCATTGTTAGGAGGTGGGGCTTTGTTGGAGTAGATGGGGCCTTGACGGAGGATATATGTCACTGTTGGGGTGGGCTTTGAGGTCTCATATGTGCTCAAGCCATGCCCAGTGTCTCGGTTCACTTCTTATTGCCTTCTGGTCAAGATGTGGAGTTTTCAGCTCCTTCTCCAGCACCATGTCTGCCTGTGTGCCACTGTATCCCACCATGGTGATAATGGACTCTGAAACTGTAAGCCACCCAAGTAAATGTTTTTCCTTATAAGACTTGCCATGGTCATGGTGTCTCTTCACAGCAGTAGAAACCCTAACTGAGGCACCCCTCTAGTCTTAGCTCCCCAAAGGAGGATGCAAGAGCATCACAAGTTCAGGGACAGCCTGGGTTACGTAGGCCCAGCCTTAAAATCCCCTTAATGGGGTCTAGGGTTGTAGCTCAGTTGATAAGTGATTGCTTTAGGATACATAACGCCCTGGGTTCAGTCCCTAACATCACATAAAGCAGGGTTCTGCAATGCATGCTTCTAATCCCAGCACTCTGGAGGTGGAGGCAGGAGGACCAGAGATTCAAAGGCATCATCTGCTATACAGCTGAGAGGCCAGCCTGGGGTACATGAGACCTTGTCTCAACAGGTGTGGGGGAAGCTGGTGAGCAAATGAGGCAGGGAAGGTACCTGTCTTCAAGCCTGACAACCTGTGTTTGAACCTTGGTACCCACATGGTGGGAGTGGAGAAATGACTCCTGCAAGTTGTCTTCTGACCTCACATAAGTACACACACATGCACACACAATAAAGAATAAGTACATCTTGCAGGGAGGGGGGATAACCCCGGAAAACTGAATATCTGGGCTTGGTGATACTTACTGTTTCAGCCCTTGAGAAATTGAAGCAGGAGAATTGATTGGAGTTTGGGTCCAGACTATGCTAAAAGGTGGCTTCCAATCCAGCTTGGACTACAGAGGGAGGCCCTGCATCAAATAACAAAACATAAAAATTTAAATGCAAGTAAAAGACAGTCCTGTTGTTAAAGTGTGGGTCTGACATGTACAAGGGCCTAGGTTCTATCATCGCGCAAAACAAAGATACCTCTATCATTCAAGAGGCCCCAAGGCATTAGTGGATTCTACACCAGCCACTGAAGAACAAACTCAGGCAACTTATTATATACTTCAGTAGCTGGCTCTATAGTGAGGTCTTATCTCAAAAAACAGAAAGAAAAAAAAAAAAAAAAAAAAAAAAGAGGTGGGGTAGGGTGGAGGAAGGGAGGGCTCTACAGAG